CTGCTTTGGGCAACTCACTCCCCAGAAATGGTTACCACAGAGCCAGAGTCCCTATCTCAGTCCCCCAATCTGAGTTTCAACGCCCTCCTACTAGACTTTCTCCCCGTGAGACAAGTCCTAGGAGGTTACCCACGCGTCCACTCCGACGTCCCTGACTAAAGATCCGCTGTGGGCACCTTTCCAACCTGCTTTGGGCAACTCACTCCCCAGAAATGGTTACCACAGAGCCAGAGTCCCTATCTCAGTCCCCCAATCTGAGTTTCAACGCCCTCCTACTAGACTTTCTCCCCGTGAGACAAGTCCTAGGAGGTTACCCACGCGTCCACTCCGACGTCCCTGACTAAAGATCCGCTGTGGGCACCTTTCCAGTACAAGGCTTTAACTGGATCACTTCGTATCACACACGCTGGACACCAATTTATGTAGCGGGCCACTCTCAAGCCTCTACCAATACAGGCCTCCAAGAGTGCTCACTACTATTCTTCACTTGCTGCCGCCAACCTATCCTTAATGCTCACAAAGGACAAGTTTTTCTTTCAAACAAATAAAGTGTTTATTGATTTGTACAAAATAAAAAGGGGGAATCACAGGTAATGAATCAAGTTGTTAATCACGTTTCTCAATTACTAGATCACACAGACTTTTCCCTCACTGCCTATCTCTCTCAAATCTATCTCACTCTCTCAATCAACTTCTCTCATCTTTTCAAACTCTCCAAAAACTCTCCCTTTCACACATCACACACACCTTATATAATCCAGCTCCTCCCCCTTCTGCATCACCCTCCGTCCTCTCATTGGCTGAGGTTCCCCTGCCCAGCTGTGACGGACAGGTGAGAGCAGAGCTGTATGCCACAGTAACTATATCTTCTTGGCAGACTTAGAACAAACTGCCAAGTCTCAGTATGAAGAGGGAGAGGAAAGGCTTAAATCCGTTATCTGTAATGTCACTGTTGTGGCAGGCAATGCCTCAAAGGATATGGCCCAATTTCAGCAGCAGCAGCAGTGTGATATGAAGTATTTCTACACCAACATCATTTGTGATGCTGCAGCTTGAAGATCTGAATGTCTTCCAAAGGAAGTGTGCTTGCAAGAACTAAGGATTTATTTTATAAATATAATATGTCATTGATAAGCAAATAATCCATTTTCTCCTCTGGGGAGCAATACAAGAGCCATAGTGAAAGTGAAGAAACATGTGACACTGCTTGGAAAGCAGATCTGTAACAGGACATCTCACTAGTAAAGGGCAACCTTTTCCCACATCAACAAAGAAAGGATTAGCTGCTATTATGACAGGCTATCTTAACTCTCTTCTTAAACAAAAAAAGGGGTGGGGACTCAAATCAGTAGCAAAAATTCAAATCATTATTAGTTGTTTCAACCTCTGATTTTTATTTTTATGAAGGCCCTTGCTTTGCTCTCTGAGGGCTCGTAAAAACTATTATTGCATTGGTACCAGCATATGATCCCTCTATAGCAATTTGCACTGCATAGCCTCATTCAATGTAAATAATTCAATCCTGACACAGTTCACTTTTTTTTATAGCACAGAACTCTTTAAGGTCTAGCTTCAGTCCCAACAGAAAAAAAAAACAGACTTCTTTATTCCAACTGCCAACATTACTGTTCACTACATCAATAGAAATTCTGCTTTGACTTTCCTACTTCATTCCTGGGCCACAGTACACCCCCATAGCCAACAGAATCTCCATTCAACATCATCAACTGTAAAATGTCATGTTATTTTTCCTCATTCCCGGTAGATGCTCAACTTTACAAAGTAAAGAAAAACTTTAATAAACTTCTTGGAAGCACCCCTCTACAAGTCAACTTCAACAGAGAGGCTGAAATCTTATATTTAATGCAGCAAAACAGATGTCTGTCAGGCATCTTCTTCTGGGGAAAAAAATCTAATATCCCTAACTCACATGGTCTCTATAAATGGTGTTCCCCTTGCTGAACAGCTCCTCTAAGTCAGATTCTACCCCGATCTTTAAAAACATAATCTGCTTTCTTGTCCAATTCTCAGTATTCTTGAGAACAAGAATTCTTTTTACTAACATTCTTAAAAATGTTGCTATATAATAAAATTCCATTGCAACTTATTATTTCACAGAACATAACCACTTTCCTGGAGATGTTCTATCATCTCACCATTCTCCATATGATTCCTCTGTGTTTAAAGGCCAGCCCAGTTATTTAAAGAACCAAAACTATTCTGTAGCTGGAAAAATAAGTTTTTACATACCTTCAAAAACAGTATTTCTTAGATGCCCAGGCAATGTGGTGGCTGGGAATTATCCAGCTGTGTTCCAAACAGATTGCTCTCTTTGTCATCTTTCTTCTAATGCATTTTTCATTCCCTTCGAACACACATCTCCTGAATTCTGCCTCCATCCAAGATTCAAATCTATCTTTCTCTCTACGCCTACACTATGAATCTAGTTCAGTGTTTTCCATTACAATATACCCACTGCTCCAAAGTACCTTTATAGGAACTGCTGGATAGCTCAATAATTTAGAGGCTGGGAGTTCAATTCCCCACTGTTCCTCCTTGACAGGGGCTGGACTCGATGATCTATAGGATCCCTTCCAGCTCCGCAGGTCTAAGATTATTACAAGGTAAGCTACCTATCTTTCAAAGACAGGTCACTGCTATTCACGCCTTACTCATTTTTAGCCCCGATTTTAGGGAACTTCAGATCCCAAACTGTCCTCTCTCCAAACCTTAATATCGCGTGCCATCTATTAGTTTTCTAAATCCTAATGTATGCTCACCACCCCCTCACAATCTTTCTGTCTCTTTCTCCAATACAAAAACCACTATAATAAATCTTCTGATTACAACATTCCCCCACTTCCATCTCCACCCCTTTCACCACCGACCACCACAGCCCCCCTAATCCAAGTTTCAACCGACACGCCCAAGGGACCTTACTATTCCCGACCCTTCTTGCCTATCCGCAGCTCTCCTAACCTTAATCCCTCTTTCCTTCCTACCAAACCCGCCGTGTCGTTCAGTTGTGCCAGTCTCCTTCCGTACGACCACCCCCTTCCACAGGTAACTCCGACTGCTTCTCAACCCGCCAGTTCCCAACCAGACTATCCCCCTTGGCCGACGGCACCGCTCTCTCTCATTGGCTTCCGCTGCCTTCACTCAGTCTCCATTGGCTTCTATGAGCTTCCCCGAACCACCAGTTGGTTCTCCCAAACGTCCGTCACAGAAAATCATTTTCTTTGGGAGTGCCCGCCTCCGCACTTATCAAGCTAGGGTGCGCTCTTGTTGGCCGCGTTGGGGGATTCCGAGAGAAGCTGGTTGAGCGCCCAAAGTCCCTCTTGCCTCACGCGCTGGCTTTGGTCGGGGGGGCGGGAGGGGGGGTCTNCACTGGTGTCAATACAAAAGAGAGAGAGCCGAGCGCACGCAGCCAGACGGAGTGAGCCTCCTGCTGAATCAGGGACATGGACATGAAGAAAAGGATCCACTTAGAACTGCGGAATAGGACGCCCTCCGACGTAAGCCCGATGCAAAGATTTTTTTTAACATGGGGGGCTTTGATGTAAGAGGGCTTAATGGCAGAGTGTTCCCAGAAAATCCCAAAACAAGAAAGGGGGGTGCAGTTGCTATGGGGGGGGGAGAGCAACTGGGTGCCGTCTATGCCAGCTGCCGTCGTCCGTGTTCGTGCTGTTGCTGCCCTTGAGGTGCCCACGGTATGCTCATATACGTTGGGGGCTGCCCCAAAGCATGGAAGTCTGACTAAAGAGAGGGAAGAAAAAGTAATCACCACCACCACCACCCCTCTGTTTCCAAGGGAGGGTTGTCCGAATGGCAGGAAAAACATAGTGCTCCTGAAAAGCGCGTCGCAAAAGCCTCGGCGCA